CCTCACAAGGTCTGAGGGACAGTGAACCAGCCCCCTGCTGAAAAAGTTTGCTTACCCCTGCTCTAGACCTCTCTATGTGGCCCTAAGACCTCCTGAGGCCACACCCCTCACTGGCCCTTTAGAGCCCCCCCCCCAAGTGTTTTTGCTCAGCTGGAACATGTCCTTGAACTGGCAGCATATGCACCATACACTTAAAGCACATTTAAAACACGTCCCATACTTGCAAAGAATCCTGAGAACTGACCTGAAGCTACAGTTCTTAGGATTCTTTGCAGTGGCAGAAATGTGCTTCAGAGGTATGGCACATGCACATCCAGTGCCCCTTGCTTCTCTGGGTGGATAAAGCGTAGAGAAGAGGTATGTGCAGAAACAAGGCTAGTGTGCAAAAGTAAAATTTACATTTGTTTCTCTGTTCACTTTTGCCTCTGCTCCTGCCAACCACTGGCATGTGGCCCCTGGAAGCTTGCCTAGGATGGAATGTGGCCCTTGGGCTGAAAGGGGCTCCTTGCCCCTTCTTTAAACATCTCACAGAATCATAGAAATGCAGAGTTGGAAGCGATGCCAAGGATCATCTAGTCCATCTCTCTGCAATGCAGGACTCTCAGCTAAAGCATCCATGACAGATCACACACACACATACCTATCCTGGTCTCTAGAAGTTGTGCGGGATGCCTGCCTTTCCACCACTGAAAGCCAACCTTGGCACTGCGTTACTGTCTTTATTATAGCCACCAAATCATTCTTTTGCCTTTCCTTCCTGCAGCATGGATGTCCAGGGCGATTATGAGCCATCAGACGCTACTGGCTTTATCAACATTAACTCCCTTCGGTTTGTATTGAAGCGTTATAGTTTCAGAAGCCTGCCAATGTTCTAGGCAGATGCTTTTTACTGAATCAGACCATTAGTCTATCTAGCTCAATATTGTCTGTACTGACTGGCAGCAGCTATCCAGGGTTTCCGGTAGGGGGCATTCCTAACCCCAACTGGATATGCTGTTGGGGATTGAACCCAGGGTCTTCTGCATTCAAAGTGCATGATTTGCCTCTGCATAACAGCCCTTCCCCTAAAATAGGGTTGCCACACCCCAAAAGCTTTTTTTTAGGAAGACCCCCTACCTTAAATGAAATAAGGTTCCTCAGGGTTCTGAATTAAAGTAGGAACCCAAGACAGTGTCATCTACTTCATCAGACCACTTTGTCAATATAGCTCAGTATTGTTATACTGACTAGCAGCCACTAGTCTCCAACCCTAGCTGGTAATTCTCCTCTTCCTACCCAAGGTCTGCCACTCAGCTGGATGGGTCCCAGAGCCCCTGTAGACATCTGTCCCCCAACAGTGGAGATGGAGCCTGGGGTGAAAAGCAGAGGGATGGCTTCTACCCTGCCCAGATGTGGAACCTGGGGTCTCCTTAGAGAAGGAGCAGGGAGGAGAATGGGGACAAAACTAGAGTGAGTTGGCTCCAACTCTCATTGGCTCTGGCTCCACCTCCTCTTTGGTCTCCCTACATTTCACCCTGACAGTCTCAATGGCCACCAGCCCCTACTGGCATGGCTGAGTTCTTCCATTTCAGAGTGGGTGGGGGTATCACATGCTCCCCAATAACGAAAGATTTCCTTACATACAGAGAAACCTAACACCCTATGCAAAAGACTGCATTTCTCCCTAATTCATTGGACTTCTGCATGCAGTATGCCTTCATCTTACAGTCATGGATTCTATAAAGGAGAGAATCAGATGGCCCTAACTGTTTAGCTAATGGAACTTTCCAGGAATAGAAAGCCCAGCTTCCAGGAATAGAAAGCCCAGCTAATTAATGCTATCCGCAATCATCTATTTTGTTTTGGGTTTTTACATAATCTGTCCTATGCACACACCCTTCTGAAATCGGAGAGGGGTAGAGAGACACAGTTACCTAATAGGCTCTTTTGCCCCTTCCCTCCCCCAGTAGCAGCCTGTTAACTTCTTTGTCCTGTGCATTAATGTACACTGTTCCCCCCCCCCCTTGAATAAATTAATTATACAATGATGAGTTTTTCAGCAGCAGACAGGAAAATTTAGAAAAACTCACATATCACCTTCCACTTATTACCCCCTCCCCGGTCGTTTCATTTATTTGTCTCAACTTTGGCCAATACTAATTTTAATTCAGAATGAATTTCTCTCACGTTCTCTTTCTTTCTGTTGATTTCCAGGCTGAAGGAATATCATCGACTCCAACGCAAGGTCAAAGCACAGCAGAAATAATATAATGGGTGGGGTGGGGGCTGCAGGCTTTTTCTTTTCCCACCCAGCTAACACACCTATGTGCCACTCACGGCTAATTGCGGTAGTAATTGGTAATAGTTACTCATCTCCCTGTGCCTTGAGGGATCCCACAATGGTTTTGTTACAGTCTTTTAGTGGCATCAATGAAATGGAATCAAGAAAAAGGTGGTTGGTGGAAAGGCGGGAGCATCACCACGCCTGTCAGTTTGCACACAAATATGTTATTAAAATATCTGTGCCATTATTTCTGGAATCTTAATGAATGGGACCTCCTTTCTTTCTGTTTTGCTTCTCACTGTTTCCCTCACACTTATTCAGCCAAGCTGTTTTGCCAAGCTTTAGTCTTTGTCCTTTCATACGAGTTTAAGTGCATCTGAAGGACATGCTGGATTGGGCTTGCTTTTTTTGTGTGTGGGGGTGGGAGGGAAGAAGCAGCAAAAGGAAAGTGGGCCCTGGACTCTACCCAAGCCCATCGCTCCACCTGTGGGGAGACTAAAGGGAAAATGGAATGGGGGTGGTTGAGGGAGGTGAAGAAATAAAATAATTTGTTCCATTTTGATCACCACTAAGAGCATTTCTTTCTTTGTCTTTGCATTAATTGCAACGAGGTCTGCTTTAATTTCACCCTTTATAAAAGTCCCTTTCTTAAAATGAATTTCTCAAATTTTTTTAGCCTCCAACCCCCCCCCCCCCCCGCTGCCCACATCCCTACAGGGATGCTTCAGTTTGAAAATAAAAATCAAGGTAAAAAAAGGATAGAGAAAAATGGAGAAGGTTGCGTGGTGGGGAAATGTGGAATTTTTAATATTCCACTTGCAGCGTCAACTGTGGACTTGAACTAGTTCCAGAAGAGCTTGAAACATAGAAGGAAAAACCAATGAGAATTAGATTTGCTTGTGCTACTGCAAGGTACAAAAGTGTGTTTAGAGGAAAACTTATATCCTGCTCAGCAGATAGTGAGCTTGATGTCACACAGCTGAAAGGGTGTAAAACCAAGAGAGAGTAATCTGTAGCCTTCCAGGTGTTCTTGGACTCAGGCTCCCATTGTCCCTGAATAGGGATGGAAAGATTAGTCATTTCCAGTTCTCTCAGTTTCTCATTTTTCTGTTCTTAAATTCAGTTTTCCACAATGCTCAAATAAACAAATAATTCCTCATGAAAATTCATTAATGCTTTAGTGCAAATTTGTCTGTTTGACTCATGTACACATTTTTGCAAGCAATGTTCTTTAAGATAATGCATCTTTGTCTGCTAGTTTCACAAATATATATATTTTTATGTACACTCTCCCCCTCATATACACATTTTGGTAAACATCAATTGTTTGGAGAACTGCAGATTTTGAAGGGTGTCTGTGTTTTGGTTTTCAATTTGTTTTGGAATTATGAAATTTCATAATTTGCCTTTAAGTGTGAACTGAATCTTTGCCATAGCCCTATGTATTAACTATCCTCCATAATTCATATTAGGGCAATACTTTTATTAGACCAGCTAAAACTCCAAAATCCATACACTTCAAAATTTCAAAGAGGTGGGGAGCAGGGGTTGCTCTTTATAAAATAATTTAGAGTTGGCTGAGTGGTGTATATTCTTGCTTGCATATTTTATACTAGCATTTCTGGTGTTTGATCGTTTCTGATAGTTCTTACAACCTGACACTGTCTAGCTGCCTGCAGAGTTCTCCTTTTAAAGCTGAACAACACTAAATGAAGGTTTTAAACTTAAAGCACAGCAGATGATGATTTTTTACTTTTTAAAGTGACAACCAAAACAAAAATCCAAAGCTCCACAGGCAGCATTTTAGACAGCCTCACTTTTGGCAAACCCCATGGACCTACAGAAACAGAGAACTAGGATAACATACAGTTATACAGGTACAAAAATGTACTGAAGCAATGCAAAGCTGCTCTGGACTTGGGAAGGGGGGTTGTGATCTGACTTTGGGAACATTTATTAACATCCTGCTTTGACTTGGTGAGGACTGAAAGCACCCTGAAAAATCTCACTTTGACCCCATACTTTACAAACCAGAACTGAAGAACAGAGGAACAATAAATTAGGGAAATCTGTTATAATCTGAACAGCCTCACTCCTTTGTCCGCCTCTCCCTACCCTTTGTCCGGTTTCATAAGACAGTGGTTCTCAAGCTTTTTTCTCTGGGCCACACCTTTTCAGAATAAAAATTTGCTTGTGCAGCACCAATTTTTTAATTGAGAAGAAATACATCGAAAAACAAAAGCTAACAACTCCCAGCAGTGCTTAATCTTGAAAAGATATATATGCGTCTTCTGCAAATAAAACAATTATTTTGATACTACAGTGGTACCTCTGGATGTGAATGGGATCAGTTCTGGAGTCCCGTTCGCATCCTGAAGTGAACGCAACCTGCGTCTGCGCATCTGTGTGTGCGCAGGTCGCAATTTGATGCTTCTGCGCATGCACGTGACATCATTTTGAGCATCTGCACCTGTGTGAGTGGCAAAACTCGGAAGTAACGTGTTCCGTTACTTCCGCGTTGCCGTGGAGCGCAACCCAAAAATGCTCAACCTGAAGCAACTTTAACCCGAGGTATGACTGTATACCATACTGCAATGTTTACATGTTGCTTTGCCTTGAACCTTCCCACCACACTTGCTATCCTCTCCTGCCACACCAGGACCACTCCAGGAGCTGCTGAGATCTGCGTGCTACTGTTAGGAATTGGAGTCAAGTGTAGCTCAGCAGTAAAAAACACAGTGTCAGTGAAGTTAACTCTCTTATTTTGTTATAATAATTTTTAATTGATTTTCCACATTTTTAATATCCTCACAATATTCATTTTTCACCTCTACTTAATAGGTTCTTTTGAACCCTTGAACTTCCCTCCACCCCTCCATGGGGTCTTTCTTTATCCCATAATTAACTGCATCTTTTACATTTTCCAAATCATTATATAAATCATAAGTGAAATATAGCAGAATTTCACATTACAAGTATCTTCACATTCCTGCCAGTGTCTTTAAATTTTTACAGTGATCTTTTAAATAAAGTACAAATTTCTTCCGGTCCTTTTCAAATGCTTGATCTTCCTGGTTTCGGATCTTTCCCGTCAGTTTCGCCAGCTCCCCATAGTCCATCAGTTTCGCTTGCCGCTCTTCTTTCGATGGCACTTCATCTTGCTTCCATTTCTGGGCTTGTAATACTGCTGCTGTTGTTACATACAAAAATAGTCACTTGTCTTCTCTCAGTATCTCTTTACCTATAATACCTAATAAAAAGACTTCTGTATTTTCTTTAACTCATTATAAATCATCTCCCAGAAGTCTTTTACTTTGTCACATAACCACCACATATGGTAAAAAGTACCTTCTATTCCCTTACATTTCCAAAATAAGTTTGAACTCGTTTTATACATTTTTTCAATTTTGCTTGGTGTTAAATACCAGCAATACATCATTTTCATAATATTTTCCTTCAGTGAGTGGCATGCAGTAAATTTCATTTCTTCCTTTCATAATTTTTCCCAAGATGACAACTGAATATTATATCCAAAATCTCTAGCCCAGTGTATCATGACTGCCTTAACTTCTTCATCCTTTGTATGCCATTCTAAAAGCAAGTTAAACATTTTTGATAATATTTTCACCTTATTCTCCAACAGATCTATTTCAAACCTTGATCTTATTGAATCAAAACCATTTTTTAATCTATTTAAAAGATATCATTTATCTGATGCCATTGTAACCGATCTGTCATATATTATTTTAATTCTTCAAAAGTTTTCAATTTTAATTGGCCTTCTGCCTCAATTAATAAATCTCTATAGATGGCCCAATTCCCTTTCATATTTACCTTTTTAACTGAAAGGTAAGGGTGAGAGCCACCAGGGTGTTTTCCTTTTGAATAAGTTTTTATATCTGTCCCATACCTCATAGGTTGATTTTCTCAATGTGTGGTTCAAGAATCCATTATGTGCTTTCACTTTATCATACCATAAATATGTGTGCCACCCAAATCTGTTGTCGTGACCTTTCAGATCTAATAAATCTGTGTTATCTAGCTAAATCCAGTCTCATAACAAACAAAGGCAAGATGCTTCATAGTATAATTTCAAATTCGGCAAAGCGAAACCACCTCTTTCTTTAGCATTTGTAAGAAGTTAACTCTTTATCCAAAGATGCCAAAACAGCTCAGGCCTTGTGATCCCAAACAACTCTTCCCATTGGTCTTGTTGCCTTGAGGTGGTTGCCTTCCCTTTTCTCTTTAAGGCTTCTCCTCTCCAGGGTCCTTCCCAAGCAGTTGCAAACTGTGCACAACCAATCTCTGCTCTGCCCTTTTCATTTCTCTCTGTGTTCCAAGAGATCAGACTGGAAGGTCACAGCAGGAGGGGGAGGCTCCCTAGATTCTTCAGCAGCCTGCCCTCTCACTGCCTCTCTAGCCCCTGCTTCTACCTCAGAGTTTGAACTGCTCTCTGCCACAGCCTCTTCCTGCTCACTAAACCCTGTTACCTCTTCAGCTTCTGACACCGCCTCTTCCTAGTCTGCTTCCTCTTCTCCCTCTGACCACTCATTGTCATCCCACCACCAATCCCCTGGCTCTGAGGCATCATCCCTTGGGGGTTCCCCAGCTAGTGTCTCCCACCATTCCTCTGCTTCCAGCCAGTCCATGGCAGTTGCTTCCCCCTGAAGCAAACCACTGAACTGTGCATGTAGCAGCTTCCTTGGTGAAAGTACCTTCAGGCCCTGGGAACCAATTCTGCCTACCTAGGCTAGGCTTTGGATGCTCCTGGACAGCCAGGATTATAAGGGATTATAAGGGAACAGGGAGTTGGATATGTTTAGCTTGGATAAGAGGAGACTGAGAGGGATATGATAGCCTTCTTCCAATATCTAAAGGGTTGTCACATGGAAGATGGAGCAATGGTTCTACCCTGCTTCGGAGGGTAGGACCCAAACCAATGGACTCAAGTTACAAGAAAGGAGATTCCAATTAAGCATCAGGAAGAAATTTCTGATAAGAGCTTTTCAACAGTGGAATGGACTCCTTCCCTGAGGGGTTTTAAGCAGAGGTTGGATGGCCATCTGTTATGGAAGTTTTATTGAGATTTCTGCATTGCAGCAGGGTTGGACTAGATGATTCTCAGAGTCCTTTCCAATTTTATGATTCTATTACTTCCTGGGTCAAGTGAAAATTGCTTGTCTTCTCCAGTATCTGAGTGTTGTTGTCTCCATGGTTAGTCTTTGGTCTTCATGTGCTTTTCAGTGTTGACTGCAGGGCTTCTGTAAAATCCCCATCATGACTCAGGCTGCTGCCATCATCCTTGGCCCAACACACAGTAACTGTGGTTATTAATGTTGAATATTGGCTATTAATATATGGATATGTGAGGGGCTTTAGGCCCACAGGCTTAATGTGGCCCTCTAGGAATCTCTGTCTGTCCATCACGATGCTCTTGAGGCCCTAGTTTTGTGCTGGGGTCCTGCTTGAGGATTTCCTGCAGACATCTGGTTGGCCACTATGAGAAAAGGATGCTGGATGAGATGTGCCACCTGCCTGGCCCTGCAGGCTCTTCACATGTTCTCAGTGCCCCCCCCATCTAGAGTGGGCCTGCTACCCCTGTCTTCACTGCCATTGTTACTGCCCACTTGGAGGGTCTGAGCGTGTTTGTGTGAATGTCCTTACGAGCTGCCCTAGCCATTTGCCCAAATCTAAGACAATAAGGGAGGTGTGGGAACATTTGTTTGACCTGCACCAGAACCAGGGGTGACCCAAAAACCAGCTAGAGAGACAGCTTGTTGTAGTTTTTAGCACATCCGCAGGTGGTGAATGTGGCTGTTGTCAAACCGGCATCTGTTCAGGGCTGCCCCAAGTTGCCCAGCAACTTACTATAACAACTTCATGGTGACTTCTGGCACCTATTTTACTTAGCGGGGGGAGCACTGACCACAAAATTTCTTCAAAGGGGAGTCAGTCCATCCCCAGTGAGTCTTGTCCAAGGGTCCGCCTGAAAACACTGAATCGACACAAACCAGTGTTACTTGTGTGTGCAAGCCAGGCTGGGAAACGCTGGTTTGATAACATTGGCAGCATCACTATGGCTTTCCCCCTCCCTTGAAACTCCTCCCACGCAGCCTTCTCTGGTCTCCTTCCCCCTCTTGCCCTCGGCTGCAAGCCCTCTTGAGCCAAGCCCAGAGGCCTCTGGGTAACAGACAGCTGTTGGATGACCCTTCCCGTTAGCTTCCGCCTCGGGCGCGCTGCGTTGCCAGCAGGGCTGATCTGTACGCCTCTCAGGCTGAGGAGTGCAGGGGCTCCTCCAGGGTCACTGTCAATCGATATCTCATCTGCAGGCTCTCCTAGCGGAAGTGATAGCATATTGGAAGAAGGTAATGGCTCTGGTCTAGTGGAAAAGGCTAATCTTCCCCAGCTGTACAGGATCTCTGCAGGTGGCCTCTGGCATCTTCCTCCCGACACACCGCTGGGCTCCCCAACGGCAGCACACAAGAGAAGAAGAGGAAGAAAAGGACCCTTTTCTTTAAAGGCACAGAGACTCCCTTTTCATTGCTAGATCTTCACCGGCTGGGGCAAACTGGACAGCTTAGGGGGCATGGAAGGAGTGGTCCAGGCCACCCCTACGGCCCATGAATCACAGTCCATCATGTGTTCACTGGGTTCCCACATTTCCAGGAGGCAGCAAAACCAGAAGAGTCCCTGGATAGTGGAGTCCCTTTCACTTAGTGGAAAGATGTGGAAGGCTTTTCAGCCTGAGGGCCACATTCCCTTCTGGGCAAGCACCAGGGGGCCACATACCAGTGGGTGAGTGGGGCCAGAGTCAAAAGTGAGTGGAGAAATGAATGTAAGTAGGTTGGTGTCCACACCCACCCACCCCTCTGTTCCCCTCCAGGTAAATAATATGCATGATTGGAGTTCCAAAGATACATTTCCAGCTGGGCAAAAACAGTCAAAGAGGATGTGAAACAGAGCTGGTGAGGGGTGTGGCCTACGGAGAGTCCTGAGGATCAGATTAGAGAGTCCTGGAAGGCTGCCTTTAGCTTCCAAGCCTGAGCTTGAGTCACTAACTGCTCCTCTTTTTGTAGCTGACAATTTCCCTGTTGCATGTATTTGCGGGTGGCGTGTTGGCAGGTGAAATGTCATTTTGATACTGCCTTTGTGGCACTTTGCATGCAGAAGGTCCCACCTCTCTCATGAGAGACATTCTCCCTTCACTTGTACTCATCCATCCTTTGAGAAGGGAATGTCTCTTTTTTAGATCAGCAGTGGGAAACCTGATCTAACAAGAGGCATTCCCTCCTCTCTCATGACAGACAGCTTCTTCTGCATACAGTGGTACCTCGGGTTAAGTACTTAATTCGTTCCGAAGGTCCGTTCTTAACCTAGAACTGTTCTTAACCTGAAGCACCACTTTAGCTAATGGGGCTCCTGCTGCTGCCGCACCACTGGAACACGATTTCTGTTCTCATCCTGAAGCAAAGTTCTTAACCCGAGGGACTATTTCTGGGTTAGCAGAGTCTGTAACCTGAAGCGTATGTAACCTGAGGTACCACTGTATAGGCATTCTCCCATTATGCAGAAGAGAATGGTCTTTCTTAGATCAGCGATATGGGACCTGTGGCTCCCGAGATGTTGTTTGACTCCAATTCCCCTCACTCCTATCCCGTTTGTCATTCTGGCAGTTGGCTGTATCAGATGCAGTTGAGACCAACAACATCTAGAGGGCTGCAGGTTCCCCATCCCTCCTAAACACCCCCCACTCTTGTGGCCCTAAGGCTGTGGCAGAGCAGGCGGTGCAGTGAGGGAAAAGTGATATGTTCCCCCATAGGGATACATGTGACATCCGTCTCCCTGAGTGAGGGAGGCAGATGGAGACCCCTCGGAAGCAGAGTCCAGCGCCGTAAAGTGTAATAAATAATGCATTGTGGCAGATAAACAGCCACCTTAAGGAACCACATGCAGGGTTAATTCAGTCCCGGAGGGCTCAACGACATCATTAACCCAGTGAAGAGGTGATGGTGCACAATGCCACACCAACCAGGGTCATCCAAAATACCTCCAAAGTTGTGTGGGGGTGTTTACAACACAGCATGGGTGTGAGGAGGATGAGCTGAACTCTCCCTATCTTCTTCAGTTTCTCCTTGAATGCAGGCTTTGAGAAAAATTGAAATAAAAGACTGCTATTCTACTGGGGGGGGGTGTTGGTTCTGCTTGCAGAGCCACATTGGGAGAAAAACAGATGTTTTGTTTTGTTTTTTAAGGGAGAGAGATGAGGAAAGGTTGCAGCATTTGGGATGTTTTAATTCAGAGAAAAGGCAAGGAAGAGGAGACATCACAGAGGTTTATACTATTATGCATTGAATGGAAAAAGAAATGTTTTCCTCCCTTTCTCATAACATTTGAACTCATGGATGTCCTACGGAGTTGAATGGTGGAAGATTCAGAAGAGACACAAGGAAGAATTTATGCATGCGGTGCATAGTTAAACTATGGAAATCGCTCCAGCAGGGGACAGCAGTGGCAACTTGGATAGCTTTAAAAGAGGGCTGGTAACCTTATACTAGCCACAATGGCTATGCTCTGCCTCCACAGTTGGAGGTAGCAATGCTTCTGAATACTAGTTGCTGGAAACTGCAGGTAGGGAGAGGGCTCTTGAACTCAGGTCCTGCTTCTGAGTTTCCCACAAGGGATTTGTGGTGCCTTAAAAACTAACCGTTTTTTTATTACGTCATAAGCTTTATTGGAATCCACTTTGTCAGATGCATCATTCGAGGATGGTTATGTTCCACCTCTACTGTCAGAGGAGGTTTGACAGTCAGTCCTGGAAGATCTGTTCCCTGCCTTTCAGACCTTTTCTTACCTGGCCTGGCAGGGCAGGGCCCTGACTAACTCGAGCTACAATAGCTGAAGCTGCTGAACAGAATTTTGGGCTGGTGGGGTGGTTTTTTGCGTGGTGGGGTGGTTGTTGTTGTTAATATTTTGTGCCTTTATTTGGGATCTTATGAGGAAATTGTTCAATTTGGTTGTATACTTTTTTATTTTTTTGTTTATTGTTTATGCTTTTGTTAAGTTTGTAGTTATGTAATTTTTATATGTTGGAAGCCACCTTGAGCATTGTTTTAACTTTGGAAAGGTGGCATACAAATAAAATGATTGATTGATTGATTGATTGAATACCAATTACCAGGAATTGCTAGTGGGGACAGCACTGTTGGAACCAGGTCTTGCTTGTGAGATTCCCACTGGGGCATCTGGTTGGCCACCGTCTGTACAGGGTGATGGACTAGATGGGCCTACAGCGTGATCCAGCTGCCAAGCTCTTCTTCTGTTCTTAAATACAAAATGTTCAGAACAACAGAGACAAAAACACATACAGCATCTCCAAGAACCATCTGTGGCCCCTTGCCTACTGCTAGTAGGTTTATTAAATACATACACCCAGCTTGGCCGAGAAGACTCCCTTTGTGCTGAGGTCGAGAGCCTTTGGATGAAAACTTCCCAGGAGGAGATGGGCTCCCTTTGTAAACTTCTTGAAACAAGGTGGCTTTGTCTCTGCATTTCACAAGGATCTGCCTTGCATCTCTCCCCGGGAGTTTCCCAAAGCCTTCACCAGCGATTGCTGAAAGGGAGCTTTATTCCTCCTTGACGGTCCACGCCATCATGGGAACCACCTGAGGGAGAAGGACAGGCGGGATCACAAAACCAGGGAGGGCAGATAAGCATGGCAATTACAAAAGGCTGCCCCGAGGGGTCTAGGCCTCAAAGCCTCACCGCCGTAAAAGGAAAAGACAAGGGACTCACACAAGGAACTCCGGACACCCATCTGGTCACTCAATAGCAGTGGTCAGTTGGCCCTTTGTGGGGTCTCCTTTCTGCCTGAACACCCCTCCCTGTTTCCCCATCATCCAAACTGAGAATGTGACCATCCAAAAAGACAGGTATGTTTTGTTGGACCCTCGTAACAGAAGATATTGGCTTTTTCTCTTGACTGTTTCCTCTCTGTAGAAAAGGGGGGGAAGAGGAGGTCACCAGAGTGACCTCTTTGGTTATGTGAGATGCTCACTTAGACGCTGACATTATCTGCCCCTCTGCTGCTGTTGGCCCGACAGCCTTTCTGGGTCATGAGACAACCTGCAAAAGTGAGGAGGGAGAGAGAGAGAGAGAGAGAGAGAGAGAGAGAGAGATGAACAGGACCAGCCATTCCAAATCTTCATATGAAGTCATCTTCTACTGAGCGGTTCATTTGTCTCAGTATTGTCTACACTGTCTGGCATCAGCTCTCCAGGGTTTAAGGCAGGGGTCTCTATCAGCCCTACCTAGGCATGTCACTGAGCATTGAACCTAGGATCTTCTGTATAGAAAGCAGATGCTGTACTACAGAGCTACGACCCTTGCTAGGAACAGGGGAAGTGACCTTGTACTGAGCCAAACCCTTGGTCCAAAACATGTGTTCTGTCATTGAATTACTGTCGTCCATCTAAAACTAAAGATTCTAGTCCTCATAGGCCATTGGAAGTGGCATTATATATCTCCAGGATTTCAGGCAGAGAAGTCTTCCAGCCCTACTTTGAGATGTTAGGGATTGAACCTGGGACTTTCTGCATGTCAGGATCTACCACTGAGCTACAGCCCTTCCCCAAATTCTTCCTGCGATTCCTTGTGACTTAACTTACAAGCCCTTCCTTTTAAGTTCACTAGGTGGTCTTAAGCAAGCCATTCTCAACCTGAATGTATGTCCATTTGCAATGTGAGGACAGTTAACACTGATCTACCTTACAAGTCTGTTGTTTAGTTTCCCCAGCTAATTGTGTGGCATGGTTTGGAAACCAAGAACCACTAAATCACTTCTGTATTGCTATGCTTAACTGCATTGCTTCAATTTGTCTTGGGTTGCTTTTAACCTTTCTGTCTCTGGCTTAGCATTTAGATTGTAAACCCTTTGGAGGCCTTGTCCTTCCTGCTTAGGTTACTTTATAAACTGCCCATTTATGCACGTTCAATAAGTGCATGACTGTGTATGTGCAACAAACCCAGAAGTGACCTGGAAACGTCATAAAGATGTCCCTGAAACATCACTAAAAGGGTGGAGCTGAGGCAGGGGCATAACAGGTTGTACACAGGCTTTTTCAGTGGGTTTCCATTATACCTGATTTCACCAACATGCATGGTGCCTCGGAATGTAACCCCTGGATAAACGAGGGGCTGCCTGTACTCCATATAAATAGCAATATCTAATTACAGACAGCAAAAAGCTAAGTCTCCATGTTTGTGGCCCCCAAGAACAGGGGCAAAGTATTTTTTCCTAGCACATCTAACTGGCTGGACACACCATCATTTCCTCTTCTGTTTTAATAACCATTCAGAGCAAAAACAATGCTTCCCACTCTCACTCTGCATTGCCTGCTTGCCAATTCTCACATTGTGACTAAGCCAGTTCAGAAGAGAGGGACAGGAATCATTGTCCTCCCTCTTAATAAGCTCATGGAAACATCGATCCTTCCAGGCAAGGGAAAGGGGAGGAATTTGATTCAGTTCACATTTAAAGTCAAGCCTAACCAATACACATTTTCCAAAAGAATGTGAACAGAAACATTGCTATCCTTTGAAAAGTGCAGTTCTCCAAATTTTGCAATGCCACTCTCCAACCAAGTAATGTAAATAAATGCATATACCAGGGTAGTGTGTGCATGAAAATGCATAGTGAAACAAACATAAAAAAATGAATTATATTATGAGAAGTAGCTTTGCAAAACATCTAGATATCAACCGATTGTCCGTCCTTGATGTAAACAATACCCAACACGCCAACTTTGAATAGCCTGGGGTCCTTATGTTTTAAATCAGGGATTGTGTCCAAGGGCTCCATTCCCCTTTAGGCAACCTTCTGAGACCATGTGCCAGTGGTGGGTGGGGCTAGAGGCAAAAGTGGGTGGAATAAGGAATGTGGAAGCAGGGAAGTAGGGAAGACAAATTCACATGCTGCTCTCTCTGCTCCCCATCCAAACAAGCTAGAGGCAGTGTTAAGGATAAATATACAGTGGTACCTCAGGTTAGAGACGCTTCAGGTTACAGACGCCGCTAACCCAGAAATAGTACCTCGGATTAGGAACTTAGCTTCAGGATGAGAACAGAAATTGTGAGGCAGCAGCGGGAGGCCCCATTAGCTAAAGTGGTGCTTCAGGTTAAGAACAGTTTCAGGTTAAGAACGCACCTCCGGAACAAATTAAGTTCTTAACCCGAGGTACCACAGTATTTGAAGGGTGAAACAGGGCCAGTGAGGAGTGCGGCTTGGGGAAAAGAGGTTTGTCCCTGGGGAGAGTTCCCAGGGCTGAACAGAGAGGCCTGGTGGGCTGCATTTGCCCCATAGTCTTGAGGTTTACCCTCCTCCCTTGCCCCTTATTCCATTGCTTAAGCAGTAGTTCTGTAACTCTCCAATGGCAGCCGCCAATCGGATGTCATCTCTTTATAGAAAATACTCTCTGTCTTTTCTTTTCTTTCTTTTTTATAATGAAGCCCTGCAGGAAGGCTACTTGAAACACTTAAATACTTTCCCCCTCCCTCTCTCCCCACCAACCTTTTTTTTAAATAAATAAAAAAAGCAAAACGAATATAAAGCAGGCAGCCAACCTAAAAACACAATTTCGCATTTAAGCAACATGCTCAAGGTCACCAGAGTGACTCAGTAGCGTCGGAACGGAAGGCCCCGAATGCATGTGGCCTCCCCTCTTGCCAGGAGTTGAAAGGAAAAGGCCAGATCTGTTCAGGTGCTGAGCTCTGCACAGACCCCCCTGAATTGCTGTGGCACTCTGGTTCAGAGCCACAGGCGCTCTGCAGTGCTCCGGTCAGGATCGATCCTCCAAATGCAAAAGACGAGGAAAAGGCGGAACAGCAGAGGTGGGGGGGAATGAGGAGGGAGGTTCCTACAATTAGCCAACAAGTGGCTGTTTTGTGAGGGATTGTTGTAGATGTGTTTTAAGTGGTTTTCAGAGTGGAAAATGTTAGGCACTAGAGCGATTGACAGACAAAGAGCAGGAAATGCATTAGGTTTTTTTTTATTGGTCTGTTTTGAACACATTTGACATTACTCTATTAAGCAAGTTCGGTTCTGGCCTTTGGGAGACTATTAAAAGAGAGAAGAAAAGGGAGAGGAGGGGAGAGGGAGGCTAGAGGTGGATAAAGCGTATAAGGGGAGGGGGAAGCAATATTATTCAAACAGGCAAGCGGTAACATAATGGCGGGAGGGACTGGAGCAAACTGTGCCAGCCAGATGGGACCCAAATGCGGATAACACAGGAGAGAATTAGCAAAACCTGGCATTGTCTAGGGGAGAATGGGCGCCACTTTCTCCTTAATAGCTCCCTCTATGTGATATAATAATGTCTCATTCAGATGCTGAACCCATCAAGGACAAAAGTCACCAGTAAGGAGCAAAAAGGGAGTTTGTGGGGAACAGGGAATACACACACACACACACGAGAGAGAGAGAGAGAGAGAGAGAGAGAGAGAGAGAGAGAGTATATTTTCTACTGAAAATCAACAAACCATCGGAGCAACTTGACAAAATACACATCTACTGTGAATTACAGGGAACTCAGCTCTTTTGGGCAAAGAGGATGATTTGTGACAGCTGTGGGGGGGGGGGGGACAGATGGATTAAAGAAGAGCTCTGGTGTAGTCTCGACTAGTGGCCCATCTAGTCCAGTAGCCTAGCAGAAGCCTGCAAGGAGGATATTAGTGCAACAGTGTTCTCCCCTCCTGCAATTCACAGCAGCTGGTGTTCAGAGACATTCATGCTATCTTTGACAGTGGAGGGAAAACATAAGAGCCTGGCTGCTGGATCAGGCAAAAGGGGGTCCCATCCAGCATCCTGCTCCAATGGGAGACCTGAAATCAGGATCCAAGCACAACAGCAATGTGCCCCCTTCTGTGGTTTCCAGCGACTGGTATTCATTACTGCCTCCAACTGTGGCTTGTAGATTTCTTTAAGGGCTTTCATTTTCCCCTCCCTCCCACCACCCAATTCAAACTCAGAGGCTCATCTCTACCAGAACTGTTAACTGCATGTGTTCAGAAATGGCCATATTGAGTTAGATCCCTGCTGGGGGAGTGATAGGCAGCAGGTGGGGCCACTGGAAAGAATAGCTGTGAGCCTTCAAAAGGTCTTGCTGCTGAAATCCCAAGTTCAGATAGACTGCTGCAGCTCAGAAGCTCTTCTTTCCCTGTCTCCCAAACAAAACATAACCTTTCACTGGATGCACAGTCCTATCAGCTGCATCTGGAGAAAGCCACACAGCTTTCCTCCATCCCAGAATGTGCATTTCCTGGATCAGGAGTTCAGTCCAGGGAAAGGTACCATCTGGCATCTCCAGTTGTCTTTCTTTCAAGCAAGCCCCCCACAGCTGTCCTTTGAAGATAAACTGAAAAAAAGAAACATATTTTTAAGCTAATGGATAGAAATTAATTTTGGGTTTAATATTCAAGCAACCAGTAGAAGATAGGAACACATTTCCTTCTGGACAGTCTTCTGCTTCTCAGTGGTGGGTGGGGCCAGAGGCAAAAGTGAGTGGAGCAAGAAGTGCCTTCAACACCCGTCTCTTTCTATCATCCATCCAGGGCGTGGCCTGGATAAATGGGGTGTGGTCAGAGAGAGAGTTCAAAGGGCCACAGAGAGAGGCCCAGAGCACTGCACCCAGCCCCTGGACTTGCAATATAGATTGGGGCTATGATCTTAGTGTAACTCTTCCAGGAGCTACATATGCACAAGTGTGAAAAACAGGGGGGAAAGGCAGAAAAATGGAAGCCTCTTTTGCAGAGGAAGAAAACTGGTGAACAATAAGAGGACAAAATCTTGGGACAACGCTAGTCCAATAAGCAAGCACTATTGGTCAGTTGGTGGTTCCCTTTGATATTTAACCTTCAATCAGTTTTAAATTATTGTTGGCTATCTCATGGCTGAAAGGCAGTGTCAAACCCTACAAAAGACAAAACTGACTGCTATTTGGTTTGGATGGAAATTTCCTAGGGCTGCCATACGTCCAAGAAATTGGACTGTCTGGGAATAGGACTGACAAAATGGCGTCAGGGCGGATTTTTGTCAAATTGGCAAAATGTCCAGGAAAACTCTGACATATGGCAAGTAGGACGACTAAAAAAGAATTTATTTTTAAATTATTTTTTAAAAATGCTTTAAAAATCCAAAAACAGCCTCAACCAATTTCATGTTTCTCAAAACAAAAGCAGCGCAGGATTCAAATGACTGCAGTGGCTTTCTTTTCTGGGGGAAGCAGCAGCAGCAACCCTTCCTCCAGCACGCAGGCGCGGCCTTGGTGAGGTGAGTGCTGGCTCATCATCTCTCCGGTGCCTGCTAAGGAGAGGTTTCCAAGCGGACCTTGCAGCCAACAGTAAAGACTGGGAGGACACTACAGGAGGGCTGGGGGGGCAACTTTCCAGCAGCCTCTGCCTCCCCTGGTGCACCACCAATAACATAGAACTCCTTGCACTTTGCTATAGGGAGAGGTGTGTGTGTAGGAGGGGGCAACAACCCCCCCACTAACTGTCTCGCCAGGTTAAGCCTCCTCCTCTTCCTCCTCTGCTGACAGGTTGTGGGTGTTTGTGAGTGTGCCAGGAGCTGGTGTGTAGGAGAAGCTCTCATTGGGCACATGCACAGACATGCGCGTGCAGCCAGCCAACCTGCACCCTCCACTACCCGATCTTCCCCACACCGGAAGCCTGAGGCTCCACCTCCCTTGGCATCCAGTGCCGGGAAAAACCCCCCTGGGCTCTTCCAGCGCTATGCCTGGCAGGGCAACCCCTCCCCGCCAGTTTGCAGCTCAAAAGCCCCCCCCCCTTTGGGGAATATGGCAACCCTAACTTTTCCCATCACGATTCCCACAGTACCTCAACTATTGTCTTGTCTTGAAAATTCACTCACACTTTGAAGAGTCTCCCATCAGATTGGACAATGTGAGAAACCCCAGCTGGTGTGGTTGGCAAAATGGGATGTGAGGTCATTTCATAATTCCCTGTATCCCTATTCCATTATCTAGGGAGCAACTGGAGACTGTTTCCACAATCCCCCCCCCCCGCATATTTTCAGTTTTTCTCCCACTCACACACATATGCCCCACGTACACATTCTGACATATATTATATTACAGGCACTTATGCATCATGGGATATCAATCTCCCATTCGGAGAGTACTAAACCACCCCATGAATTGTGACAGAGAGGTACGAGGGGCCCCTCCCTCCCTGCTTAACACACCCATGACATATGAATTTCCACTTTTGTTAAGCAATGGTTAACGGCTACTGGGATGTCTCCTTTCCTCCTCACTTCCTCCTGTCATGGCCAGGTGAATAAATTTTGCTGCCGGAGGTGAAAAACAAGATGGCTGGCATTTCAGTTACAGGAGCTGACAGGACTGGTACTGGCTCAGACCCTGCAAGTGTTCCTATTTTCCAGGGACGTCCCTGATTTATAGAAGCCATCCCAGTTCCTTATTCGATCCTAGACTGTCCCAGTTTTCCTTAGGACATTCCTATTTTCATGGGAGAAATGTTGGAGGGTATGGAGTTATCCATCTTCTGAAGGCAATCCTGTATACAGTGGTACCTTCGTTCTCAAATGGCTTAGTTGTCAAACAAATCGGCTCCCGAATGCCACAAACCTGGAAGTAAGTGTTGCAGTTTGCGAACGTTTTTCGGAAGCCGAACGTCCGACACAGCTTCCACTTGAGTTCAGGAAGCTCCTGCAGCCAATTGGAACCTTGGTTTTCAAATGGTTTTGGGAATCGAACGGACTCCCGGAACAGATTAAGTTCGAGAAGCAAGGTACCACTGTATAGGGAAGTTTTTTTTAAATGTTTAATATTTTATTGTGCTTTTATATATGTTGGAAGCAGCTCAGAGTGGCTGGGGCAACCCAGTAAGATGTGTGGGGTATAAATAGTAAAGTTATGATTATGGAAAGGGGCATTCCTATTTTCATGGGAGAAATGTTGGAGGGTATGCTAGCTGAGTGTTATTATAACACTGCTCTCTTCCACACCTGAGGTCAGTAGGTTGGCTTAGAGGGCACAGGCCTGGCAGTGTGGTACACACAGCCTACAACTACAGCGTATTCCTGCCACACCACACACACACTTCTCAGGGCTTGCTGCTTCATTCAGCCCAGTATTAATATTTATATCTGTCTTGTCTCCATAAGAATAGAAGAAGGGCCCTGCTTGATCAGGCCAGTGACCCATCTAGACTAGCATCCTGTTCTCACAGTGGCAACCAGATGCCCCAACAGGAAGCTTAAAAGTAGGACATGAGTGGAACGGCGTTCTCCCGACTTGCGATTCTTAGCAACTGGTATTCAGAAGCATTACTGTCTCCTATGATGGAGGCAGAACATAAAGAAGTGCCTGGCTGCTGGATCAGGCAAAAGACCCATCTATCTGAGCATCCTGTTGCCGCTGGGAAGCCTGCATGAAGGACCTGAGTGCAACAGCACTCTCCTCCCCATTTGCTAATCCCAGCAACTGGTATTCAGAGGTAAAAATTATCCCCAACAATAGAGGTAGAACATAAGAACACTGCTGGATCAGGCCAGTGGTCCTTCCAGCCCAATATCTGGTTCTTGCAGTAGCTGATCAGATGCTTCAATGGGAAGCCTGCAAACTGGAATTAAGTGCAACAGCACTCTCCTCCCCACTTGTGATTCCCAGAAAATGGTATTTAGAGGCTTGCTGCCTCTAACAGTGGAGGGAAAACAAAGCTGTCTGTGTCACAGGGGGCCACTAACAGTGGCTCCCCAGAAATCCTCAGGGGTTGGGCAGGGACATAAGGGGTCAGGTGGTCCCTGAGGTATCCTGGAACCAAGTTGTTAAGGGGCTTGTACCTGTTAATACAAGAACCTTGTACCTGACTTGGTAGCCTATACAAGCTCTTGTGGATGGGGTCCTGATTATGGGGTCCTTCCTAGTCCCAAGTGACCATTTTAACAGCGAGCTTCTGTTTTCCCCACTGAGGAAGGTTGTGAAGATCTCATCTGAGGACCGCTGGAAGATTCTTACAAGGTCCGCTGACCTTTCCCCACCCCAAGGCCATGTGGGCCATCTGCCATTCCGCTCAACACTAAACCAAAAGCCAGAAATGGCAGTTTCTGATTTTGCAAACAAGCAGAAGGTGTCCTGGGATTTCAGAGAGAGCCCTCAAAAGCCAGCCTCATGCGGCTTTATTTTATAGAGGTATTGATTAAAATAAACTAGGGAGACACGTTACATCTTTCCTCAAGGGTCAAGAGTTCAACCACCCAGCTGGTTTTTTACCCCGCCAGCCATGTTTTCAGAAACACTTGATGGCCTTCAGCGTTGGATTGAGGTTTCCCTCCCTCTCGCCTCCATCCCCTCAGAGAAGCTCAGGTCAGTCGATGGAAGGTAGGGGAAAGAGGCCCGTGAAGCCTGAGACCACTCTGAGAGGCAAAGTGCTTTAGCCGTGGGGAAAGGGTTTCTTTAAAAAAGAAAAAGAAAATAATAAACCAAATCAATGAAGGTCTACTGTGACATGTTGACCCCTAAGCTACATAGCACTAATAACATGGTTTTTAAGGTGTGGCAGTAAATCCTGTGTGGTGAGTTGAGCTCTCTAAGGTTGCGGGGGGGGGGGAGTTTTAATAATGCAGCAGATGGCCTAGGATAAGGAAACAGGGGAGCAGAGACTCATGACATTAACTTTTACAAAGATAGCTTTGCAGAAATCATGATGGACACGCCTAGCTTAAGCCCCGAGGCAAAAGCAGTATGGCAAGGCAGAGAGGCCTCTTGCTCTCCCTCTCTGAGTAGAAAGCCTCAGTAATGTCAAAGCAGCTGGTTTTGCCCCATAGAGGCCTGTGTCAGCCTACAGTAGAGGCAGAGCTTGTATCTTTGGTTGCAGGAGGCTCAAACCCCAATGCAACGGGCTCTGCCAGGGAGGGTTTTGAACGAGGGCTGGAATTGAAAATTCAGACCCGTTTAAATTTCAACAATATGTTAACAAGATGCGAGTAAGACATATCATGCGTCGACTTGTTTTCTGATTTCATTTGTGGAATGTGATTGTGAAGCAAGCTTTTTAAAAATAAAAACTTGTTAAGAACATAAGAATGTGCGAGATCAGGCCAAAGGGGCCCCGACTAGCCCAGCATACTGTTTGCACAATGACCAGCTGAATGGCCTAATAGAAGTCTCACAAGCAGACCCTGCACTCTTCCCTCTTGCAATTCTAAGCAATGGCACACTGAGGTGAAGTTTTCAATTTAATTTCTCATTTTTCCAATTTTAAATTTGGTTTTCAGCATTTCTACATCAACTTGTATTTTCTTTTTCTTTTTATGAAAGGTCCACATGAAGTGGTTAGAGTGTCAGACTAGGGTTCAAATCACCACTAGCCCATGTAGCTTGCTTGGGCCATTCAATGCCTCTCAACCTAACCTGCCCCATGGGGTTAAATGAGGAAGAGGCAGCTATGTATGCCACCCTGAGCTCCTTACGAGAAAAAGGTGGGTTATCAATACAACAGATAAGTAGATAATAAATAACATTGTTCAACATTTTCAATGCAAATTTCTGCCAACCTACACATCCTTCTATTTCATTGATTTATTTTAATTTTTAAAAAATGTATATAATGTATATAACGCTTGATCGCCGACAGAACTTTTAAGTGGTTTACAAGCTGCAATTTCCCCTAATAGACATATTTTTCCAAAGCCATTTACCCTAAAATAAAGCATTTTCATGTTATTTTCATGGCAGGGGGGATTAATTTTTATGGGCACTTTGCCCCAGTATATACATTTTTAAAAACACATTATTTGGCAGGAAAACCACACTGGAAAATTCAGAGAAGTGCAAATTTCAAAGGATGCCTGAGTTTTGGTCCTTGTTGACATCCGTCTGTCTTGGATGCTCAAGATGTTAACCAAAATGAAGGCAATTGAGAAGTGGAGGGAAAACAAATGTTCTGAGCCCTTTATCACAGACAGAAGGGAGTTCTTCATTGTGAAGCATACACCGTGAATACGTGGTTCTTCTGGATGCTCTCCTTGCCAGAAAAAGGTGTAGTATATTTCTCTGAGGCAGCCATTTGAAATGAGTCTGGTCTCCTGTAGAGTGGCAACATCAATGATGAGCATTCTCAGTTCATGGTCGATGATGGCCATCTTCCGTGAATCATTGACCTGAAATGGTCCTGACATTCTAGCTATCTAGGCACAAGACAGTTTCTTTCTTTCTTTCTTTTGCCTGAATCAGTTCAGTCCACTTGTTTAGTGACACTCTGAGTTCCAAGCACCCACTGAAGCAAGTGGACTATGACAGGTCAACACTTTATTTACTGGACACTGTCCAGCTAAAGGTGGGCAACTGACCAGTGAGACATAATAATCTCTCCCACCGATGAAGGCAACCTGTAAAACTGGTACCTTCCACCAATCAGGTTGAACTTACAATTTTCTGCTGGATCTAGCAGCAGCTTTTGATACCATTGATCATGGTATCCTTCTGGAGCTTCTAGAGGAGTTGGGAGCAAGGGGCATTGTTATGCAGTAGTTCTGCTCCTTACTCCTGGGCTATGTCTAGAAAGTAATGCTGGAGGATGAGTGTTCAGAGCCCTGGGCTCTCACCTGTGGGGTACCTCAGAGCTCTGTCCTCTCCCCCATGCTTTTCAACATCTATATGAAGCTGCTGGGAGAGATCATCAGGGAGTTGGGGATGGGTGTTAACCAGTATGCGGGTGATACCCAGCTCTACCTTTCTTTTAAATTGGAATCAGTGGAGGCAGTGATTGTCCTGTGTGAGTGTCTGGAGGTGGGTGGAGGATGGATGGTGGCTAACAGATTGATGGTGGCTAACGCCTAAACCTTTCTATCCCAGTGAAATCACTGAGATCATCTGCAGGAAGGTAGTTGGTCATTCATTTAACAAGAAACTGAGCCTTTCGGGTCATCAGCTCAGTCCTGCAGAATACTCTGCCAGTAGGATTCAGTGTGTGTCTTCTGTATCAACTTTTAAACACCCGCTGAAAACTTTTCTATTTTGCTAGGCCTATTGTGCAGTTTTATGTTTTATTGCTGCAAACTGCTTTGATTTTTTAAATTACATCCCTTAACAAGTTAGATGTTTCTAAACACATACACCTCTTCCCATCCTCTGTCAAAGTAAGCAATATACAGTTCAAGGACATATCCCAGTAGAGAAAAACGATTGAGGAGGGTGCAAAGGAAGGGTGATGAAGGGTGTGGCCTAGGGAGAATTTCAAGGGCCAGATGGCAAGCCCTGGAGGGTTGTTTTGGGGCCCCAGACCTGAGGTTCTCCACTCGCCCTTTAAAATAATTACTGCTGTCCTGATACCGAACCTATAGAGATCAGTTAAAATAACAAAGCAGAATGTGGCATTTTAACAAATCAACCCACAACACTCATTGTCTCAAAGCTCAAATGGATTTAAAGAGAGAGTGTGTGTTAATAGATATTGGTACCAATTTCATCTCTAGGGAGGAAGTAGCTGCATTTCATCTCTTGGTCTTGACCCTTTAATATGCTCTTTATAACTCTCTGACTCCAAGGGGCTTCCTGCATTTTCAGGGAAGGAGGAGTTAAACACATTGAACACCAAGAAAAATCAAAGGATTATAGGTTTGCAGTTGGAGTGTCCATCTGTCAGTGTCAGAAATAAAAAAAATCCTGAAGTCCCCAGGCCTGATTGTCAATGAGAAGGCTGCTTCATTAGAACTCTCCATTCGGAGAGGCCATTCAGAATATATGCCAACTGTCTGAAAATCGATCTATCTTCTGGTCTCTTAGAATAACTTAAATATAGACACTATTACCACCTGTCTCTGTCTCCTCCTCCTCCTCTTCTGAACCAGGGATGGGGAACTTGTGGACCTCCTAAGTTTTTGTACTATAACTGCCAGCATCCCTGATCATCAGCTATGCTGGCTGAAGCTAATGGAAATTGGAGTCCATCCACACCTGGAGGGCCAGTTTCCTTAGCACTGACTTAGCAGATGGTACAAAGTCGTCTGGAATTATCCAGGCTTGGTATATACAGCAAGACTGTGTCCTTCCTGTTGCCTCTGGCAGATAAGCAGAGATAAATGTTGTGCTTGCCAGATTTCAGGCTCCTGGTTTTCATCTGCCCAAGTTGCTCAGAATACCTTGGTACCTCCTAGGTATGGATTCAGGTGTTCCTGCCTATGGCCCAGCCCTATTCTTTGCACTTACCACCTGCTAAGTTTGGATGTGAGGACAAAGTGGACACAAAAACTGCAACCAGGGCCAGCCCAAGACATTTGGGCACCTGAGGTGGAACCTGAAATGGTCCCACCACTTCCTACCAGGGGATAAGGTGAGGAAAGATCTACATCAGGAACAACTGGGGAAGGAAGACTGACATTGGGATCTGCCGTTCTGGTAGATCCTGCTGCCTAAGGCAGTTGTCTCACCTGGCCTCATGGGTGGGCTGGCCCTGAATGGAATGACTCCCCTTGTGAAAAACTACTGCAGCTATCCTCCTTTTTACATCAGTGAAGTAATATCACTTTTCTCTTTCTCTGGACTCTGTCTGCTTCATTGCACTCATTCTGCTAACATTCTTCACCCCCATATGCAACCATATCTGTCTGTCTGTCTGTTATATATACAAACACACACTACATATCCACTGCACACTTCTCTCTAGCACTCCCTGCTGGGTGTGGAGGGGCCGTGAGGCCGCCACGGCTCAGCGTTTCCAAAGCTGTTCCCTGCTGAGCCTCGTTCTTTTTGCTCCCCTCCCCCTGCCAGTAATCAAAACAAACACTTCTGAAGATAAAACGAGTTGCAGCGGGCGCTCAAAATAAATAACTAATTTCTCCCTGCATGATCTCAAGGAGCAGGAGAGGCGTGAATAGCGAGGCCCAGTGTTGGTCCGAGCAGAACCCCCCGGAGTGGTAATTCGAAGGATGACAAACATGAGGCAAAGGAAAATGCCGAAAAATGGCTACTCCCCGTGGCCCTTTTGCAAAGGAGCTATTGCAGGGTTTGGAAATAACGAAGCCGTCGATGGGGAGAGGGGATATTTTCTCATTGAGGCTGAGTGAAGTGCCAAACAGGCTACTATTACGGAAGCTTTAAGAGGTGTACGAAAGAAGAGAAAATGGAGTGGTGGGAAAAGGGGGGCAGTGAAAAGAGAGGTGGGGAAAATGAAAATGAGAGGTGGGGTGACTGTGCAAAAAGAGTGAGTGAATTTGAGAGAGGGGATGTGGGTGTGGGTGTGTGAGAAGGCGCAGTGGGAATATTTACCTGAGAAAGATTGGCCTTCACGTTATTTATTTATTTCATTTTATTTCCACAACTCATTGCCCCCCCCACCACTCGCCTCCAAATTTTCGTAATTTCTTGAAATTTCTTAAACCTTTATGAGAACACATTTAAGATGTGTGTGCGCACACACGCACCCACACCCACCTCCCTGATAACCATGAGGGGATGGGGAGAGGGGGGGAAACCAAACACCCCAAAACAAAAGAGAATGTAAAGAAAACAAAATATCTACAGTTGTTGAGATGAGAGAGAGGGAGAGAGAGAGAGAGAGAAATGAAGGAAGGAAGAGCGAGAGAAAATAAAGGCCAGCATCCATAATTTTCTCTGTGGGGCTTTGAGGTAATTGAGCCATTTGGATAAAAATAAGGCAGCAGGCCCCTTAGGTAAAAGGAGCTTTGCAATCCAAGGAGGTTCGAATTATGCGTCTTGTATCACTTTGAATCCCCCCACATCCCCCTCACCCCCTAGTGCTACGCCGAACCACTTTCCTCTTTTCTTCTTATGTGTATTTTTTTTAAGTACCCTGTCAAAATGTCCTTAGATGAGTACAGAATTTCAGCTGTCACAACTAATTTTGATTCTCCTGAATGCTTGTGTGTGTGTGTTGAGAAAGGGGTGTGTGTGTCTGTATGCGCAAGCTCTTGTGAGGAGAAGAGTGTTGTTGAATCAAGATTTCTTTTCTTGTCATATATATATATATATATATATATATATATATATATATATATATGAGAGAAAAAAGATTTACATCAAAAATTTGTTTCTGGGGAGTGTTTAAGAACTGTAATTTCCTCCTCTTTCAATTACCATTTGATGCTGTCTGATTCCCTCAGCTCCCCCCCCCCCCCGAGCTTCATTTTGCCGCTGTTTTTCTTTCCTCACAAAAACGCCGTCAATCTTTCTGTCAGCTTTAAGCTGTCAGCTGCCTAGCTGATCCATTTCAAAAACACCACAGGCCCTGGGGTTGTCAAGAGTGCCCAAATGCCAGATCGTTTTCCTTCCTGATCTTGACGTAATTTTACGGCACACTTGCCTTACAACAGAGTTTCTTGGGGAAGGTGGCATGGAAAACGGCCATGGTTCCCGCTTCAAGTTTCCTGCCTGATGCACATTTGCCCCTCTATATATCTCAACATGTGTTGCCAACAGTTGTAGCTCTCTTTCTGACATCACATTTACCTCACATAACAACAAAAGTAACTCGAAGGTGTCTGGTTGCAGCTAGTAGCACATATTATCTACACTACAAATATACAGCTTAACTGTCATGGCTTCCCCCTGCAAAAGATCCTGGGCTCTACTGTTCAGTGAAGGTGCTAAGAATTATGTTTTAGGTCTGTACAAACTCACTCCACTCAGACTTCAGGGCCAGCAAAAAGGGAATGTTTTTTAATTGAGGCCTGGTGTGGAACACAGGAATTTGCCTTCTATTGAGTCAATAGAAGGCAAAAAAGCAGTGTGGAGCTTGCATGCAGTCTGTCGACCTCGTCTCCCTCAGCTGTAGGGCTGCTGAGGGGGATGTGGAGGGTGGACGCAAGCCCCATGCAGTGCAGAGCCTGCAGGCGCCCAAGCCATTGCGTCATTCCCAGGAGAGATGCGTAGTTTGGGTGCACTGCAAGCCCCATGGTAAGTGGTGGCTCCTGGGTGATTGGTGCCCAGTGCACCCCCTGCCCCCTAGCTACACCTCTGTTCTGCCCACTCTCCAGTAGCCACTATGAGCTGCCAAAGGGAGGAGGCTGGCAGCGGTGGCCATGGAGAGGCTCTGCCAGCTCATCCTCCTCCTGAGCTCAACAGCGGCGGTTATGGAGGGGGAAAGTGGGACATTCCTGGATCCAAACAGAAGCTGGGAATGGTTCTGTGAATCCGGGATGTCCCACAAAAACTGGGGTGGTTGGAGGGTATGAGCTGTGTTGTTATGTATGTTTTTCGTACATGGGTGTTTACTAGTTAATGAAATACCTGTTCTAAATTACTACATTGAATCTAGGACATGGGTAGGCAAACTAAGGCCCAGGGGCTGGATCCGGCCCAATCACCTTCTAAATCTGGTCCGTGGATGGTCCGGGAATCAGCGTGTTTTTACATGAGTAGAATGTGTCCTTTTATTTAAAATGCATCTGTGTTATTTGTGGGGCATAGGAATTCGTTCATTCCCCCCCCCAAAAAAAAATATAGTCCGGCCACCCACAAGGTCTGAGGGACAGTGGACTGGCCCCCTGCTGAAAAAGTTTGCTGACCCCTGATCTAGCACTTCATTTTCACAACACATTGCTGGGGTGAGATGAAATGTGTGCAGGTTTTACAGAATAAGTGAGGGCTCGTCATCCTTTATCACTCTCATATGAGGCAGCTAAGGAACAGACAAGGAAGAAAATGATGCTGACATATTCCCCTTTATTTATCTTAGTGCCTCCTGGAAATGCCCCCTTTAACTCCATCCATTTCCTCCTCCCTCTCCCCAATTCCTTCTCCTCTCAAGCTTCCTCATCCCCAGAACCCTAAACTGTCTCACCCATCTACCTCCCTCCCAACCATATTTTCTCCCTTCCTCCATACGCCACCTTTACGTCCACCCAATTCCTCCCTTCTCTTCCACCTTGTCATCAGAAAGCTGAAGGTGTCATACACAGAGAGACCCTTCTTCTCTGCAGGAAGGCTTTTCCTTAACCTCTCTTCAAGTTATTTTCTACAAACAAGAGCCCCCTCCTTTTCCTCCTGCTCCCACCCACTCTGCCTTTAGTCCCTTAGGAGAAGCCAATGAAAACAGCACGGTGATGGACTAGAGATATATAGTTGTTAAATGTTCAGAAAAAGGCAGAAGCCCAAGGCAGTACAGTGGTACCTTGGGTTACATATGCTTCAGGTTACATACGCTTCAGGTTTCAGACTCCGCTAACCCAGAAATATTACCTCGGGTTAAGAACCTTGCTTTAGGATGAGAACAGAAATCGTGCGGCGGTGGTGCAGCGGCAGCAGGAGGCCCCATTAGCTAAAGTGGTGCTTCAGGTTAAGAACAGTTTTAGGTTAAGAACAGACCTCCAGAACAAATTAAGTTCTTAACCTGAGGTACCACTGTATAAGTTCCTCAACTAAGTTTATTCAACATTTGTCAGTGACAACAGCTCACTCATAGGAACACAAGAACCAAACTGACTGGACAACACGATAATAATCCCAAGCATGTTGACAGTTGAAAGAGAATGCGCTTACTTACCATTAGAACGTTCGTCTACCAACGCTTCTACAATTGATTAGAACGTGCCTTGTAACATAAAATGTGTTGAACCCAATACATAACACTCCTCCCCCCCAACTTCCTAACAAAAGGAACAAACATAGTCATCAAGGTGTGCCGGCATTTTCTGCTCCCGCTGGGACTGTCATGGTTCCTGTGCTCGAGTGGGTGACCCAGGAGGTTCCTCCAGTACCCAGGAGGTGGGTGACCCACGAGGTTCCTCTGGTACACGCAGTCTGAGTGGGGCGGTCAGCAAGGCCGGCTCGGAAGGGGTCACTGCCGATGGAGCCACTGAGGATTCCGGCCTGTAGTCGCCCTGCTGGGATAACTCAGTCACCGGCAACCCGTCTGGTTCCCACCCTGGCCTGGGCACAGAATCTCCTGAAGTACCCATTTTTCTGTCCTCTGTTTTCCACTTGAAGTTCCGTGTTTGGAAGTGCCCTGGCTCTGATCTGGTCAAGGTGTCTCTTCCAAACCAGTCCCTCCTCCAACCCTACATCGTAGGAAACCGGACCTGTACAGGGGGCAATGATACCAGGAACCCAGCTGTGTCTGGGCCCACAGTTTTGGACGTACCCAGTGTCCCCCGGGGAGAACCCTCTTGGAGCCCCCCGCACCACAGCGGATGGTCATTGCTCAAGAGCCCAGTCGGGGTGCATGCGATCAAGGAGGGTAGTGAGCCTCCTCCCCATAAGCAACTCCGCTGGGCTCCGGCCAGTCACTGCACTTGGGGTGATGTGTTGGGCCAATAAGAACTCCACTAACTGGAGAGTCCAGTCTCCATGCACTATGCGCCTAAGTGCATCTTTGGTAGTATGGACCATGCATTCAGCTTGGCCATTAGTGGCTGGGTGAAAAGGAGCGGAACGAATGTGGCGGATTCCATTCTTGGTTACAAATTCTTTGAATTCTGCCGAAGTAAAAGCGGTCCCATTATCACTCACCAGTGTGTCTGGCAAGCTGTGTGTCGCAAATAGCTTCCTGAGCACATTTATAGTCACTCTAGGGCAGTGTTTCCCAACCTTTTTTGGGCAAAGGCACACTTGTTTGATGAAAAAAATCTTGAGGCACACCACCATTACAGCCCCGTGACGTCAGCGCGCAGCGTCACGCCGGGAGGGAAGGGCGCCGGGGCGCTGCTGCTGCTGCTGCCGCCGCCGCTCCCGGCAGGCATGGGCCCAGCTGAGGCAGCGGCAGCTGTTGTGGTGGTGGCGGCGATAGCGGGCGGAGGAGGGGGCGGCGGCGGGGCCGAGGTGGCCGGCGGCGGCGGGGGAGGCGGCGGCGGGTGGAGCAGGAGGGCGGCCGAGGCCGGTGAGGGAGTAGGGTTGCCCGGGGCTTGAGGAGCCGTCGCCAGGAGTTGCTGCTGCTGTTGTTGCTGCTGCTGCCCGGACATGCCGGCCTCCTCCTCGTCCGCTGTCTCGCGCTCCTCCCTTTTGCGCGCGCTGCCCCGCCGCCGCCCCATTGGCCGGGTCCTGTCAGCTGATCCTGTGTTATTTCCTGTGTGTGTGTGTGAGGGGAGAATGGAGAGAGAAACCTCGGCACCACCACCGCGGAGCCGCCCCCGGCTCAACGCGGATCCTCGCCGCCGCCGCCCCGCCTCTCGCCGCCCGACTCGCCCGCCTCCCTCCCACGGCACACCAGGCAACGCCTCGCGGCACACTAGTGTGCCGCGGAACACCGGTTGGGAAACACTGCTCTAGGGGACACGGTTGAGGTCAGCACCACCTTGAGCCACTTGGACTGAGAATTGACCACTATTAGGAAGTGTTGGCCCTGAAAAGGCCCCACGAAATCCACGTGCACCCGAGACCATGGGGACTGTGTGGACTCCCAGAACTACTGGTGCCTTGGGTGGATCCGGCCAGGAGACCTGGCAGGACTCGCAACGTTTCACCCAGCCCTCTATCTCTGCATCTATGCCTGGCCACCATACATAGCTATGGGCCAATGCTTTCATCCAGACGATCCCCGGGTGAGACACATGCAGCCCTTCTAAGACTTTTTTCCTTAACGGGGCGGGGGACAGGACGGGACTATGACACGGATACCCCATAACACGCATCCTCGGTGAGTAGACAGCTTGTCTTTGCAGACTGTGTAGCATGAAAATTCTGGACCTAGCTTCCCGGGTCACCCCCTCCCCACCTAGTCCGAGACGCGGGACAACAGCCTATCTTTCGTTGTTGCGGCAGCAATGTTGGGTTTAAGCGCAAACGGGACTCTACGGGCCTTGACCTGAATGGGTTGTACAGTGGAGTTGAGCCGTAGGGAAATCTGGAGTCCGTTGTGCAGGCCCAGGCTTCCATTGAAGACTGCTCGAAACTCCTGGCAGATTGATTCGAAATCTGCCCCTGGGGAAATCTGATTAAACCCTGAACCATGCTAGGCTTAGAAGGCTAGTGAATGGGCCTTCAGTTATGATGAGGTTCAAATTCTTTGTGTACTTCTTAAACTGGACCTTGAAGGTGCCCACCCCCTTTAGCTCAATTCTTTTTCTGTGGAAGTCCTGCAGCACTACGGGGGCCGGAGAGGAGGACCGCCGTTAGGGCAAAGCTCTTTCAGAGTCTTAGCAGATATTATGGAATAGGATGAGCCGGTATCCAACTCTATAGTGCACGGGGTTCCCTCTATCTTGAGTTGTACCCTAAGCTTATTGGACCCCAGAGACAGAAGTTGAAGTACCCTGGCTGGAGAGATGGACTGTAACTCCTCCTCTATGTAGGCCTCATGGACACATTGCTTGGTCATGCTGCGGAGGTCTTGGAGCGGCAGACTTCACCAATGTGCCCAGTCTTCTCACAATGGCGACATGTGGTGTCCCAAAACCTGCATGTCCGACGCTCGTGGTTTTCTCTGCAGCTGGCGCAGGTCCCTCGAGGTGTGTCAGATGAACGCTGGTTCAATGATGCGCTCGTAGCTTGGGAGCGGTGGTGTCGGTTGGATCGGTCCGAAGCTCAGTGGACATCCTCATTGTGGGGACCTACGGAAGACGACCGGTCTTGCTGGATGCGGTGAGTTCTCCTTTCGGTACGTAGGCTGCAGGCCGCCTCATGGGCACTATCCTTCCCAAAGGCCGTGGCCATATTCATTGCTTCCATCATCGTGATGTCGTCTTTTGCCAGTAGCTTGCAGAGGAGATGGCTGTCTCGCATGCCACTGATGAACCTTTCGAGGAGTCGTTCCTCGATGTCAGTGAATTGACAATACATCGCAATCACCCGGAGCGCTGTGATGTATTCACTCGCTGACTCTTGCGCTTGTTGCTGTCTGTGTGCAAAATCATAGTGGTGGTGGTTCTTAGTTGGCTGAGGCGTGAGGTGTCTTGTCGTAGCCTGTGTCGGCTCATCGAAAGTGCATGCCTCTATGTCCCTGGGTGCCATCAGACTTTCCAGTAGAGTGATGGCGGAACTTCCCAGCACCGTCAGTAGCACATCCACCTTGTCTGCCTCCCTAGTGAAGCCTTGTAGTTGGACGTAGCTCCTTATTTGGCAGAGCCACTGCGGCCATTCTGCAGGATGGCTCATATTGAAGTCCAGTGGTAGCCATCCTCAGACCTGGAGCAGTCGCTTGTGTGATTGTGGGTGGTTGCGAAGAAGTGGCAGGAGCGGTCTTGTTTCTGGGACTATTTGCTGAGTCCAGCGTGGTGGTGAGGTCGCACTTACTGCGAGGCAGCAGGCGGTGGTGCTGCGGTGCGGTCTTGGGCCTCTGGCAGCCGGTGGGAGCTCATCAATATCCCATCCTTGTTGCCAATGTTAAATGTTCGGAAAAAGTCAGAAGCCCAAGGCAGTATAAGTTCCTCAACTAAGTTTATTCAACATTTGTTAGTGACAACAGCTCACTCATAGGAACACAAGAACCAAACTGACTGGACAACACGATAATAATCCCAAGCATGTTGACAGTTGAAAGAGCATGCGCTTACTTACCATTAGAACGTTCGTCTACCAACGCTTCTGTGATTGGTTAGAACACGCCTTGCAACATAAAATGGGTTAAACCCAATACATAACAATAGTAAAGAGAGACATACCCTTTTTCTTCAATCATGGAACTCAAGGTGATGTATGTGTAGTTCCCAGATAGTCTTCTATTCAGATTTTGATCAGACCCAGACCTGCTTAACTTCAGCAAGATGCTGGTCTCGTGTACCTTCAAGACCATATCCCAGGACTTTTTACAGGGCAGTCTGTTATTCCAAAGTGTTCTCCATTTTAAGACCACCTGGTGCAAGTTCAGCTTAAAGATAAGAAAAGAGATCAGAGTCCTTGAAATATACGTTTATCAGTAGCGAGCACCTGGACAGGTCACCTGGTCACATTCTTCCCCATTAAAGGGAAATGTATTTATCTTTACATTATAGTATTTGTTTCTAATTTGCAACTATAGATCTAAATGAGTGCATAATTTTTTAGTGCAGATTTGTTTTCCTCTTTCAGGGGTGATGCACTTCCTTTATGGGGGACAATGGATAAATGGCCACCATGATTTCAGCCCTATATTTAAGGCTATGGATAAGAAATGTATCATAAATAAATCAAAATAAATATATAAACATATTTTATTGGCATCCATCTGTCTCAAGAGACAACGAAGTGCACCTCTGGGTTGAAGTCAAACAGCTGTGTTAGCAGCACTGAAGTGAGCTCCCATGGGTGCAAACCTGGGAAGTGTGTACAGAGGTCCTGGGCTGCCCAGACAGTGGTCCCCTCTCAGCCTTGCTGCTGTGACCCAAAGAAAAGCACAGCAACACCCTTGGCAGCAGCTTGGCTGCAGGGGTTACCGGAAGGAGGCACACAAGGCGCCATTCAACTGTCTTAGGGACTCCATTCCATATTTGTGTAGGGTTTACTCCATAGCCCTTTCTTCTCCTGAAGAATCCCACAAGGCAGCAGAGGTTTAGGATCAGAGTTTTCCTTCTAGATGGAAAACTTTTCCTAGTTTAGCCAACCAATCAAAGATGTTACTGGGGTGTGACCGCAGTCCCATGCTGACAGCTTCTAGGAGCTACAGGTGAGAGCTGAGTGCAGGTTGGGGACCAAAGGGGGGACAACCCCAGAAGGAATATGACATGTCCCCCACCAGAGATTCTACCCCTCCCCTAACACCCCATACACTCCACATAAACTTTCTGAACATGTATATAATATACACATTTATTACAAACATATATAACATATGTAACATATGTGTTTTTATAACTATTTGTATTGATTTTACAAAAACCAAACAATATAGCAAAATGAATGGGAATGTGCAGTGATCAATTCCCACAAAAAGTATGTATCAAAACATGGGCACATCTGTACAATACATTTAAAGCCTATTTATAGGACACTGCTTCCCCTCCAAAGAATCCTAAGAACTTTAATTTGCTAAGAGTACTGAATTTTTTTTCTCAGCAATGAGTAAAGTGGTTCCCAAGATTTTGTGGGGGAAGCAATGCTCATGAAATGTGCTTTAAACTATGGTTACCAGATGTCCCCATTTCCCGGGGACAGTCCCCGGATTTACAAATCTGTCCCTGGACAAAATCCGTACCCGGAATGTCCTCGGATTTAATTTAACGTCCCTGGATTTATATTTTAAGTGTTGTAGATTTATTAGTAGGGAATGAATGTTGCATGATTAGTTCAACGGCACGAGACACATCATATGGGGACTTCTGGCGAGGCAAAATGGTGGATGCCACAGCAGCAAGCAGCTCCTGAAGCCAGCCAGAGCCAACTGTGCTACCAGGCTGACTCTGGGCTGCTGAGACTGCTGCTGCCACTGCCACTGCCAAGGGGGATCTGGGGACACCTGCTGCGTCAACTGGGGGAACCGCTACCCCCGCCCCGTGACCCAAATCGAGCCGGGAGCGAGAGCCCAGCTATGCTCCGGGGCTGACACAGGGAGGAGGAGGAGGGGAGGAGAAGGAAGAGAGTGAAAGAGGAAGGAGAAAAAAGAGGGGAGCCCTGACCTAGCTGCGCCAACTGAGGACGAGATGTAGGAGAGTACCAGGAGGGCAAGGACATGTGGCCAAACCCAGGCCCAATCTGAGCCTCCTCCACTGTGGCTAGCGCTCCAAGAGAGCAGGTCGGGGCCCAGAGGAAGGCTGCACGACAGAGGAGACCACAAAAGAGATTTCTTAATTTAAAAAAAATAACTTTTAAAAAAATCCTTCTTTTTTTGTTAAAAAAATGTCCCCAGATTCATTGAAAAAAATCTGGTAACCTTACTTTAATTCCAGGGCTTTTTTCAGTCAGAACTTGCCGGAACTCAGTTCTGGCATCTCTCAGGTAGGTGACATTGCCAATCTAAGAGAACAAGGGAGGCATTCATGGTGAGTTCCAGCACCATTTTTTTCTAGAAAAAGAGCACAGTTTAAATGTATAGTGTAGATATGTTCAAAGTCTTTGACAAGACCTTGATAAGACCTTGAACTTGGTGGTTTTTATCCATGTTCATTAATCTTTGCATAAGAAATAAAACTTAATAGGACTGCATAGAATTTTTCTGTGGCTTGAATTTTCTGGTGTGCACAACATCGGCATGTTAGTTGATCCATTAGTACCAAATCCCAGAGCTATCAATGCCAATTATCATCAAATGAGTGCTCATAGCTATCGTAGGGTTGCCATATTTCAAAAAAGTGACACAAAAGTTGTTTAGTGCTTTTTTTGCCCAAAGTTGTTGAGCTTTTGAGCTATTTTTAATGAAATTTGCCAAAAACAACACTTCCGACATGGGCTGCCATAGGTCTGGAATTTTCCAGACATTTAAGCGATTTCCATGTGGACACTGTTTACGAGGGCCGAATATGAGCTATGTCAGGGGAGTTCTGGATATATGGCAACCCTTACTCCTTAGTGCAATCATCAGAGGGTGGTTAGAACTTTAGGGCCCAAATCCTGATTGTAATAGTAAAAAATAGAGATGGGGGCCCCTGCAAATTGGAGGTTTGGCAGAGTGGCCTGATTGGTTATCTGCAGTGGAGGCTGGTCCATTGGGGTGAATGGAGCACTGCGCTGCCAACCTGTCTACCCTCAGCCAGCTCCCAACCAGTTGCCTTCTTTTTTTACATCTCATCCAGGGGTGGACCGGCCTATCGGCTTCCGCCTCCTTAGTCTCAGTGTTGCTCACTAGGGAGGAGATGTGGACCAAACTAGAATTAGTTGGCTCCTCCCTCTCATTGGCTCTGGCTCCACCTACTGTTTGGGCTCCCTGTTTTCTACCCTAGCAGTTGAAATAGGCACCAACCACCACTATTTATCTGACAAGCTTTGTGAAAGACATAGGGCTTTTTTTCAGGTGGAGCTTACAGGAGCTTAACTCCAGCACCTCTCAGGTTGATGCCATTGCCATTCTAAGAGAACAGGGAGGAGTTCATGGCGACCGTTGGCACCTCTTTTTCTAGAAAAATAGCACTGAAAAGACCTGTAAGAAAAAATGTTGAACCAATGGGCAACTCCATGAATGTTGGAAGACTTAGGCAATGATAGCCACCAACTAGATACGTTTCCAGTACGTTTCTGAGAACAATTCAAAGGGTTGGTGTTGAGCATGGGTAGGCAAACTAAGGCCCCGGGCCAGATCCGGCCCAATCGCCTTCTAAATCTGGCCCATGGACAGCCCAGGACTCAGCGTGTTTTTACATGAGTAGAATGTGTCCTTTTATTTAAAATGCATCTCTGGGTTATTTGTGGGGCATAGAGAATTCGTTCATTCCCCCCCCCCATATTGTCCGGCGCCCCACAAGGTCTGAGGGAGAGTGGACCAGCCCCTGCTGAAAAAGTTTGCTGACCCCTGGACTAGAGTGTTGGACCTTGGGAGACCAGGCTAAATTTGTGTAAATAAACCCATATATCCTTAAACACTAGCATCCACCATCCCTGCTTCCAAGGAAACTGAACATGGCATAAGCACCTGGAACCCTTGGAATTTTGCGCAGCTCAGTGACTTGGGCAGCACGCGACAATATTGTTCTTCTCGTTGTTGTTTAAATTATCTGAATATAAAATGTTAATCCAAAAGTTGCAACAAGTCTGAGCCCTGCAGCTGGCATAAACATTATTTAAATTATACAAATATAAAACGTGACTCCAAAGTTGGAGTTCTGCAGGTTGCATACATCATCATCATCATCATCAAAATACAAAAGGTGACTGAAAACGCTGCAACAGGCCTGAGTCCTGCAGCTGCCCTGAATCATGCAAACAGAAACGTGGTCAACGTTAAAACTAGATTAAAAAACAAACCCGCAGCAGGTGTGCTTTTGATCACCGCAAATATGCACAGTACAGTACATATCGTATTACTCTTTAAGGCTCCTCCCCGTCCCGTCTCCTCCTCTCCTAGGCTCCTCCCATCTGGGCCTTTCCTGAGGAGCCACGCGGAGCCCGCCCCTGGCCACGTGACCCCCTCCTCCTCCCGCCTGCCTCCCCCGGAAGCAGAGGTTCGCTCGGCTAGCGCCGCGCCTCTTTCCCGGCCTGTCTCTCCTCTCCCTGGCTGCCCCTCCCTCCTTCTACTTCCTGTCTCGGGCGGAAGCGAGGGGCGGGATTTCCCTTTCCGGGTACGGGTCCCCAGGCGGAGAGAGAAAGAGGGAGAGGGAGAAGGGGGGAGGGAGAGGAAGGCGAAGCGAGATTGAGCCCCCGGGCGCTGGACGGAGGAGAGGCTGAGTGAGTGAGCGGCCGGCAAAAGCGGCCGGGCGGGGGGAGGCCCAGGAGGAAGGAGGAGGCCCAGGAGGAAGGAGGAGGCCGAGGCGGCGGCGGGAGGAGGCCTGGGCCGAGGCGGCGGCGGCGGCGCGCGCGTCATGGCGGAGCTGGCTCTGGGGCCGAGCGCGGCACCCGCGGGGGCGGGGAAGAGCGAGGGCTTCGTCGACGCGCTGCACCGCGTCCGCCAGGTAAGAGCGGGTGGGTGGGGGCGAAGGCCGCATGGCAGACAGCGAGGAGGGCCCGGCCTGGCCCCGCCTCACCTCGCCTCCCCGCGCGCCTCGGCCTTGGCAGCAGGAGGAGGCAGCATATGGAAAAGTGGGGAAGGGTAGCCCCTCGGGCCTCCTCCTGGGGTGTGTGGGAGGAAGGGAGGCCGGCGCGGGGAGGCGTTTCTGGTCCTTTCCAGGGGTCTGCCCCGAACTGCATACCATCCAGGGGCCATAGCGTGGCGCGCGAGACAACTTCCCGAGTTCTCTGGCGTGGGTCGAACTCAGTGTTGCCTGCACTGGCAGGCAGAGGCTGTCCAGCGTTTCATGCGGATTGGTGTGTGCGTGTTGGGGAAAAACTCGACGGTCCTGTGTAAAGGAAACGTTCCTACCACTGAACTGTGGCCGCTTTTCCCAAAGGAGGCAGACTGCGTTGCCTACACTGGCAGGCAGTGGCTCTTAAGGGCTTTCAGGCAGGGACCTTTCGCAATCCCACCTGGAGATGTGGGCATGGGGGAATGGAGTCACCAAGCCACAGTTCTGTCTCTTAAAGAGGAAAGCTAGGTTCTAGTCCTTGTGGTTCTGAATAAAGGGATGAGTTAAGTGGGGGCATGAGAAAGCTGTCTTATACCAAGTAAGAACGTTGTCCTGTTTAGCTTAGTGGGCTGGGATGTAGGCTAAGCCAGGCCAGGAGGAGGAGTAGGCATATGGAAGGTGGGCCCATCACAACTCCTCCTGGGAGAAGGGATGCCATTGTGGGAAAGGGTGTGTGTCAAGTGTGGGGAGACATTTTTCCCCATGGGACACAATGAGGCATAAGTTAACTTCCTGAGTTGGAACATTGGAGTCTGTTTATCTCAGTGCCGTCTACACTGATAGGCAGCAGCTTTCAGCAGTTTCTGGCAGGTGGTCTTTTCCCAGCTGTGGCTGGAGATGTTCCTGAAGATTGAACCTGGGGCCTTCTGCATGCAACAGAGTTACAACCATTCCCCATAATATAGGAACACAGGAAGCTGCCTTACAGTAAGATTATTAGGGTCTGTCTAGCTCATTGTTAAGGGACGCGGGTGGCGCTGTGGGTTAAACCACAGAGCCAGGACTTGCCGATCAGAAGGTCGGTGGTTCGAATCCCTGCGACGGGGTGAGATCCCATTGCTCAGTCCCGGCTCCTGCCAACCTAGCAGTTCGAAAGCATGTCAAAATGCAAGTAGATAAATAGGTACCGCTCAGGTAGGAATGTAAACGGCATTTCCTTTCGCTGCTCTGGTTCACCAGAAGCTGGCCACGTGACCTGGAAGCTGTACACTGGCTCCCTCGGCCAATAAAGTGAGATGAGCGCCACAACCCCAGAGTCGGTCACAACTGGACCTGATGGTCAGGGGTCCCTTTACCTTTACCTTTAGCTCATTGTTGGATAGTGTTGTCTGCACTGAGAGGCAGTAGCTCTCCAGGATTTCAGGCAGGGGGCAATTCCAAGCCCTACCTGGAGATGCTGCGGGGAATTGAACCTGGGACTTTTAAACATATGTTTAAACACTGTGCTGTGGCCTTACCCCTAAAAATGAACTAAGATTCCAGTCCTCATGGTTCTGAAATAAAAGCTGATTTGAATAGGGACTTACAGAGCTGCCTTATACTGAATCAAACTGTTGGTCCATCAAGCTCAGAAGGCTGGTCTGGGGCAGGCCTGGATGAGGCAGAGGCCACCTGTCATGCACTGGGAGACCAGTGTGGGAAAGGGTGACATATATTAATGCTGTGTGTCAGATGTGGAGAAGCCTTTTCGGCTTGTGACCAAACTGCATAGGAATAGGGTCATGGTTTTAAAACTAGAAACATAGGAAGATATGCCTTATATTGAGTCAGAGTATTGTGATCTGTCTTAAAACATTAATGCCTACACTGACTGGTAGAGGCTCTCCAGGGTTTCAGGCAGGGGAGAGTTCCCAGCCCCACCTGGAGATGCTGCTTTGGTTGAGCCTGGAGTCTTGTGCATGCATACTCTGTCACTGAGCCATGGTCCCTTCCTCTAAAAAGAGTTAGACCCTTGGTCCGTCTAGCTCAGTATTGTCACAGTGACTGGCAGCAGTTCCCCAGGATTTTGGGCAGGGAGTATTTCTCAGTCCTACTTGGAGATGTTGAGGATTGAACCTGGGACCTTTAAAGCACGTGCTTTAATGATGAACTTTAGGGGCCCTTCCCCTGAAGTTACAGCAAGGTTCCAGTCCTCAGGGTTTTGAATTAAATAGGGAGCTGCCTTGTACTGAGTCATACTTTTGGGGTTTATCTAGCCCTGTATTTTCTACACAGACTAGCTGCAGCTCTCCAGATTTTCAAGTCCAAGAAGAGCCCAGCTGTGGGTCTCTTTGACCTAGGATGTTATAGCCTGCCTAAGTGGCCTTCGGCACCTGAGGTGTGTTTTGGGTGCTCACCCCATTACTGTGATTGTAATATTGTTTACAATTTAATTGTTTTTAATTCTAGTTTTTAAATTGTTTGAACCAATCCTGGGACCTGTTGGTGAAGGATTGGTAGTAAGTTTAACTATAATTTATTGATAATAATACTCGAAGCAGGCTCATTGAAATCAGTCAACTTCAAGCTACTCATGCTGAATAATTTTCAGTGTGTCTAACCCTGAGTATAATTAATGTTGGCCACACATACCCATGATAGAAATTCACCAGATGCATTTTGCAACTGGTGCAGGTCCAATTGTGACTATGTGGGAATCTTTGGATGTCAGGTTGGTAACTGACTGGCCGCTCCAGCTTTCTTAAGCAGGTAAGCGGAAGAGCTTATTTATTGCATTTATATCCGACCTTTTTCTCCATGGTTCACCCCCCCCCCATTTAATCCCTACAACAATCCTGTGAGGTAGGTTAAGAGGCTGTGACTGGCCCAAGGTCACCCAGTGAGCATCATGACTTAGTGGGGATTTATCTGATCATCTCCCAGGTCCTAGTCCGACATGCTAGAGTACTTCTGCCATGAGGCGGCTATATAAATTAAGTAGATAAATAACTATGGGGAAAGCGAAATGTCACTTAGAGAAGGTTCTGAAATATATTTCTTGAAGCTTGAATTTGTTGTACAGTGGTACCTCGGGATGCGAACAGGATCTGTTCCAGAGCCCTGTTCGCATCCTGAATGGAACACGACGGTGTGTCTGCGCATGCACGGGGCACATTTTGCCGCTTTCCCGCATGCGTGTGACATCATTTTGAGTGTCTGCGCATGCGTGAGTGGTGAAACCCGGAAGTAATGCACTCTGTTACTTCTGGGTTGCCGCGGAGCGCAACCTGAAAGCGCTCAACCTGCAGCACATTCAACTCGAGGTATGACTGTATTCTGGATTGTTTTGTTTGATGTTTTAATGTGTTGTAAACCATTTTGAGATTTTTTTTCATTAAAATATAAAGCAGTATAGAAATGAAATGAATACTACTACTACTAAATTCCATTACTATTAGATTTTCCATTAGATATTCTGTTGTGGCGACCATAACCTAGGTTTAAGGTGCCATTTGGCAATTATCTTACGTATTTGAGTTTCTAACACTGCCCTCCCCATTTTTCCCAACTCAGATTCCACTTTGGAAGCCCCCTCCCAAAGCAGGATGTTTGATAGAGTCATAGAATTGTAGAGTTGGGAGGAACCCCGAAGGTCATATACTCCAGCCCTCTGCAATGCAGGAATTGAAGCAGCCTTCCTTCTCTTTTGCATGACCTCACCTCTAGCTCCCCCCCTCCCCAGCTGCTGATCTCCAAAGGTTGACTGCCTCTGACATGGAGGAGTAGCCCAGCAGCCTCTTTTTCAAGCCCAGATGCTTTTTTGGATGCCCTCCCAAATCGGCCCTTCTCCTCCCTTGCTTGGCTTCCCTCTCTACCCGTTTCCCTCCTTCAGCAATTGGTCTCCAAAGGTAGACTGCCTGTGGGCGTGAAGCCTTTGCTCCCTGTTGTAGCTAGAAAAAGCTATCGTGGAGCTTTGCTTGCTTAGTCCCAAAATGTCTATATTGGGCACTGTCATGTTTTCATGACTGGCCAATATGATATTCAACGCCCTTTTAAAATCTGCTGGGGTATTATTGGGCAACTTTTCTTTTGATTATGTATTTTGTGTTTTAATATTGTGATTTTATCATGTGAACCACCCTGAGACCTACGGGTATACACATTTAATAAATAAAAATAATAATTTTCATAGCACCATCCCATTGCCCTGTTTGGGAGCCGCACCCCAGGCAGGATAAGGGGCGATGGCCCTCTCCAGCAGTTGCTTTTTGTAAGGTACACTGCCTCTGGACAGTTAATGTTTGTCATGGTTAATAAAACCAAAAGGGCTTTGTTGAATAAAAATGAAAGTTTTATTATGCTGATGATGTTTTCATCTATTTTGTTCAGAGAATTTTGTTTACCCTGCTCCATGGCAGTGGCCGTGGGGGGACAGGGTGCTCACAGAACAGCTTAACAAAGGTCAGTAGTAAGACAGTCCC